TTTTCCAGATACTTGTAGATAATTTTTCTTTTTTCTTTTTTGGTGGGACTGGGGTTTGAACTCAGGCCTTCATGCTTGCAAAGTAAGTGCTCTACAGCTTGAACCACACCTCCTGTCCATTTTGATCTGGTTATTTTGGAGAATGGGGTCTTGTGAACTATTTGCCTTGCCTGGTTTTGAATCACACTTCTCCCAATCTCAGCCTCCCAAGTAGCAAGGATTACAGGAGTGAGCCACTCATGTCTGGCTGTAAGTGAACATTAGTTGTAATAAGAAATAACAAGCTACAAGGGTGAACGCATACATTAAAATCCAGTGGTCCTCTTGCACTTTGGGTAATTATTTTTTTATTCATGTGAGATTTTGTAGCACTGAAGTCATTTGGAAAATACTGGGTTACTGAATTATGCAAGTATTGTAAATGCTGGCACATTTTATTTTGTAATAACAAAAGTAGTTTTTATTACTATTACCACCAGTGTCATAAGAAAGAGTTTTATATTTTAGAAAGTGCCAAGTTTGCTATAGTGAATACCCTTTTTTTTTTTTGGTAGTACTGGGGTTTGAATGCAGGACCTCATGCTAGACTGGTGCTCTACCACTTGAGCCACTCCTCCAGCCATTGAATATACATTTTCTGAAGTTCTGGTTTTATCAACTTAATGGTAGATTTATGCCATTGGTAGCAATACTGTCAGTTGTTTCCTTTGAAATGATAGGCTTCTTTCATTTTTTGAAAAAATACCCAAGTGCAAACAATGATGTAAGGAAATAAGAGTGTAGAACTGATGTCTAGTTAAGTTAATAATTCAGGGACCCAAGTGCTTTTCTTCAAGACCGCCATCTACTTCTGAAAGCAGCAAGGGGTTTTCTGTTCACCTCCTAATCCAGGAGACAGAATTGAAAAGCAAGTTGTAAGCTGGAGGTGTGGCTCAAGTGTAGAGTGCCTCCTAGCAAGGCGATTCCCTGAGTTCAAACCCCAGTACTGGCAAAAAAGAAAAAGAAAAGTTATGTACTCAAGGTTAAAGATCAATAAAATTAATCCTTTTACTGCTTTCTTAGGTGAAGCTGTTATTTGTTTTAAACTGTATGTGAAGCTTCCTTCATTCACAGAGCCTTTTATTGTTGATCATAGAACACCAGTGCAAATGTCCACAAAGTGAAAAAACAAAAATTGTGTCTCAATATTCTTATCAGAATAGCTCTGACCTAATGGACTCTAGACAAAGGACTCAGGGTCTCTCCAAATTCCCAGGCTACACTGAAAATTACCTTTGTGGACAAAGCAAGACTTTATTGACATATTAACTTCCACCCCACTTTTAACTTAATTTAATTTCAGTGCTTGGGATGGAACCCAGGGCTTCACACGTGATAGACAAATGCTGTTCCACTGACCTAGATTCCTAGCCCAACCATCATCTCCTTTGAAGACCTCAGCACCAACTGCCCAGGGGTGCTTGGACTTGGTAACCCAGAGGTCTCCTCAAACCTATTTGGAAGACAAGAACTTGAGTTCAGTTTTTGGGGTATCACTAGACAAGTCCATGCTGGCTCTAGTTGGCTTGAATGAAGTCATCTTCTTTTTTCCTTTTGTTTTATATGTGACTTGAAACACTACATATATAGTTTGAGTTGAGTGCCCTGAACAAAGTCCTGTAAACTTTCTACACCAATTGACTGTAGCTACAATTGAGGTTTTCCTCTTACGGCTTAGAGAAAAGGCAGCTTGTAGTCTGGTCCTAATTTGTGAACACGACACCACTCCTCAAACTCACTTTCCATGTGTGAGAAAACCCTCTTTTTTATATTTCTCCCTTTTTTTTTTTTTTTTTTTTTACTATTTCTCAAGACAAATTGTTAGTCTCTAAGGACTCTTGTCATCCACCACAAGTATCCAATTCAACCATCGAATCCTTGTCTCCTTTGTCAAGTCCTGTCGGGTTTTTGTCTGTCGGCCCCCCAACCCCCCCTTCCCTCTTTACTTCTTTTCCTTCTGGAGCTGGAAACCAGGCAGTGAGAGGATGACAGGTTCTAAAAGGTCATTTTTGAATAGAGAATTGAATGTGTGCAATGGGTTTTTTGTTTTGTTTTGTTTTGTTTTCTTTTTTCTTTCTGAGAGCTGGGATGGAACCCAGGGCCTCACACATGCTAGGCAAACTCTCTACCACCGAGCTACACCTCCAGTCTTCTGCAATGGTTTTAGAATGCTGTTTTTTGTGTGTTTTAGGGAAGGGAGGTAGGACAAAGCATGGAGAGCTTCTTCTGACCAGACATGTCAAAAAGTTCAGTTTTTCTTCACTACTCAAATTATGTTTTAAGGTATGAATTCCCTGAATTGAAAATAAACTGGAGGTGGGGGTGGCGGGGATACAGAGTTCAGTCAGACAGGAGGAATAAGTTTTGAAGATCTTTTGTACAGCAAATTGCCCACCTCTAGCTAATATAATAGTGTATTGTAGGTCTCAAAATTGCTAAGAATTCTCTCTTTCTTCTCTCTCCCTCAGTGGGGATTGAACTCAGAGCCTCTACTCAAGTGCTCTACAACTCAAGCCATGCCCCAGTCCAAGAATTCTCTTTAGATATTTTCACTACAAAAAATGATGACTATGATTATGTTAATTAGCTTGAGAGAGTCATTCCACAATACATACAGTCAGAGGATCACATTGTGTCCCATAAATACATATGGTTGGTAGTCAGTTACAAGCACAAGATTTAAGTAAAAAAACAAAATGGTAAGTTGTGGCAGAAAAAATGTAGGTCTCTCCTGCACTCTGAGTTGGCCAGGAGAGAACGTTGCCAAATAGGTGCAGTCTGTGTACTTTGTTCTCCCTTTTCTTCATTAGGAAATGTTTTCTGATGTAGTTTATGCAAGGTGCTGGTAAAGCTAATTTTCCTTTTCCTAAAGGAAGAAGTAAAGGAAATAAGATAAAGAAAAGAATAGCTAGTAGTGTTGATTGCGTTCCAGCAAATGTTATCAGCATCTTAATTGTCGTGAACTTTCCGTTTCATGTGTGGTGGATTATTTCAGTTCCAGTGCACTGTCTGCTGGGTGCCACGAGCTGATTGTCCTTTCCTGTGGCCACCGTCAGCTGAGGTTGGTAATGTAGCCGAGGCGAGAAAGCCTTGCTCCCTTACCTCACCCTTGTAGGCTGTGAGACATGAGCAAAGTTTTGTTATTTTAGAGGACCAATCCTTGAAGAAATGTCTACATTTAACGATTAAGCCTGATCCACACTTCGTGGGTGATACACTTTGTTAATTTTAATTTTTATCACTTGACATGCCATTTCTTTCCTGCTAATATCAGGTTTCTCACGATTTAAAACAAGTACACAGAAACCAATAGTCATATTTGACTATTCTAATCCTGCAGCATATTTGTAGGATTTCAGTGATCAGAATGCACAGCAATTGTTGGAATAAATGAGTTATTGAGGAAAAAACTTGGAATCAAGCATATTGACTTCAACCATGTATCAGTTAGAATTGCCTGGCTCCTTGCTTTGCTGATAATGTAACTAGCCTGGACTGCCTTTCTGCATACCCTAGGTTTTTATTTAAAAACATCATCGAGTGCTGAGTCTCTCTCTCTCTCTCTCTCTCTCTCTCTCTCTCTCTTTCTCTCTTTCTCTCTCACATACACACATTCACACACAATGTAATTACATGCTGCAGCGTGAAAAGCACCAGACCTGTTTACAAAGCAGCTCATGAAGTTTTAAAGTAACAGTGGTATGCGTGTGTTTGCAAAAAACAAAGTACCATGTACAGCATGGGTAAACTGTGCTCATTCCTCCTTCTTTCTTCTTTTGCTGTCCCATGCCACCCTCCAGAATTTAGTGCATGGAGATGAATGATGGAGCTCCTTCCTCCTCCCTCCTGCTAGGCAGTGCGTATGCATGACTAGTCATGCTTATTTGTCTTCTGCTGCTTTATTGTTGCAGATCAAAATACAGGTCCTCAGGTGTGTGGGGACAGTGGCTGATGGAGTGGGCTCCTATCTAATTAGTTTTAGAGCAGCCTAAATTCCCTATGGGAATTATGAGGTTCTTACATGACATACTAGAGAAGGATTTTTTTTTTTCTTCAAATGAGTCCTTTGCGGTCTTTCAGAAGTCCAAGAGCAAAGCTTTCTGTGTAGAGGGGCATTTTCCCAACCCTTTCAAAAGTCTTCTGTAGTGCTTTGTGAAGATTTTTGCAGTGCCCCTCTCTGGATTTTATTTCTTTATTTTTTAATGTGGAAGGGTGGCCACTGATCTCCACCCTGGGAGCCAGTCAGTCTTCTTGCTCTGCAGGTCTGTCTGCTGCAGTGAGCCAAACCCTTGTGTTGGCCATGATGAATCCGGGTCACAACAACAGCATGGCTGCTGACTGACAGTGTGTGTGTGTGTGTGTGTGTGTGTGTGTGTGTGGAGGGGGGAAGGCTAAGGGGGTGACTGTTCACTTCGGTTCTGGCAGGAGAGCCAAGGACTGGACAGAGGGACAGCTCTGCCTTTTCCCCTGTTGATTGACGGGGGACAGTTAGGAGCTTTTTGGAGAGTGGTAAAGGTTGTTCTACCAAGTCACTCACTCTGAAGTCTTGATTGGCAGAAAGGGCTCTCCTGGGTAATGAGTGACATGATACAGGTGACAAATGACAGCTTTGCATTTCATTCTGCTTGCTAGGTGCTGAGTAGGCATGGTGTGCAGGTGAGTTAATGCTCCCTCATCCACACATGCTGAGCCTGCACACTGTGGTCTCTGCACGACTGCCTCTTCCTCATCAATCATTAGTGTTTTGGGGATGTTGATAAGTATTGTTGGAGTGTGAGCAGGGATGACACACTTCCCACTGTTTAATGGAGCTGATCAGGAAAAGGAGATGTTACTTGAGTCGTTCATTAGTGGTTCTACATGTTTCTTTCTGTGCCTTTTGTAAAAGAGAAGAAAAAATACATACAAGACCTACACATACAATTTATGTGGTTTTTTTTTTTTCTCTCTCCCCCTTCTAGGACTCCATCTGCAGATGTTCTGAATACCTCTGAGTCTAGAAATTGATTATTCAACCAGGATACCTAATTCAAGGTATTAGCTCTTGTCAGAAAGCTTTTACATTTGAGCTCTGGCTGCAAATTATACTTTGGCAATGGATTGAAATAGAAAGAGTTGGACTGAGAATAAAGGACCCAAACGATTTTATGAAATAAGCAAGTGTTTAAAAACTCACCCTGCATGGTGAGATTTGCTACTTCTGATTCATGTGCAGCCTTCTTTCTGCCAGTTGGTGTGCCAGCTCAGATATATTTGTAACCATTTCTCTGCAAATGTGTTTAGAGTTTGAATTTCATTTGAGTCTCTCCTTCTCCCTTTTTCTCCTAACTGCCCAGACTGCCAGAACTCAGGAGACCAAGACATTTTGTCAGTTTTGAGACATTGGACCAAATACAATGAAGTATTCTTGCTGTGCTCTGGTGCTGGCTGTCTTGGGCACAGAATTGCTGGGGAGCCTGTGTTCGACAGTTCGGTCCCCAAGATTCCGAGGAAGGATACAGCAGGAACGAAAAAACATCCGACCCAACATTGTTCTTGTGCTCACAGATGACCAAGATGTGGAGCTGGGTGAGACCCTGAGTTATTCGCTTGTTAATCTCCTTTGCTCAAATACCTTTCAGAGCCTTAGCCTTATCAGGCACACTCAGTGGGCATTTATGGGGTTTGCACTTAATTATAATATCTTAACCAACTGTCTAGTATTAACTTGAATTAATCATAAGACTTGTCTTTCAATATTACTTTTCTGTTTTTGAGGGGTTTTTGTTTGTTTGTTTGTTTTGTGGGACTGGGTTTGAACTCAGGGCTTTGCACTTGCAAAGGTACTCTACCACTTGAGCTGCACTTCCTGTCTATTTTGCTCTGATTATTTTGGAGATGGGGTCTTGTGAACTGTTTGCCCAGGCTGGCCTCAAACTTTGGTCCTTCTGATCTCAGCTTTCCAAGTAGCTAGGATCTCAGTTGTGAGTCACAGGCATCCAGCTGGTGTTGAGGTTTTGAAAAAGTCTGGGGAGTGGTCCTGAAGAGAAGAATGAGGACAAGAGTAAGCATGGGGGCCTAGAGAGGTCAAGGCATTGACCATGTGCCTTGGAAACTCTAAGTCAAGATATTTCGGTAAAGTTGTTTCAAAACGTACAAGAATTTAACTTTCTATGCAAAGTATGTGAAAGTAGCTGGCTCCTAAAGGAACTTTTGGTAATTACTGTTTGTAGAGTGAACTACTTATTCACAGCTTGTTATTGTAATTGTTGGGTAATTGAATGTTATGGCGTTCTTCGTGTTCTTGGTAGTAATTCACCTGCTACCACCTTAAGGATGGTGTTTTTGGAATTAGCTCACCTGGATTAATTCTAGAGCACTCAGAAAGTGTTCTCTAAACCTTAGTGGTTGCAACTTACCTTCTGCTTGGGTTTCTCATTTCTCACTTTCTTTAATGGGGCAGCCCAAGGGTCTTATCCATAAGCCTATGGCCACACCTCCCAGGGGATCCTAACACAGATAAAAACATAAAAACAAAATTATGTCCCACAGGTTGTCTCTACCAGCTGTCATCACCCGGGACCCCCATTCCTTGCTCCTGGGGATCACCCAGCTGTGCTTATCCATCCTGCCAACATGTCTGTGAGAATCCTTCAGACCTGTGCAGCAGAGCCCACGGAGTCATCTTTGCTGAGCTTCTGGGCGCAGGTTCTTGAGTGTGAAATCCTCCATGCTGCAGCTTGATCTGCAGGAAGAGGGCTTTGATTTCCAGGTGGAAACCAAACCATAGAATCACAGCAAAGAACTCCCAGGGTTCAACTGGAAGCAAATGTGCTAAAAGTCAGTAGGGGTCATAATTGTTGAAGTCATTCTGAAAGTTGACTCTCTCACTTCACTTAAAAGAAAAAAAAGTATTGATTTTCAGTTGACATGCCAAAATGAAAGGTTTTTTGCACACATGATGTTGGAATGTGTATGGCCGGTGATTTAAATGTTTTCATTCACCTATAGAGCAAGGACAATGGCATACACACGTCTGATTTCTCCTTCCCTAACCTTTCTCACATCCATCCTTTTTGCTGCATCTCTCTAGTTTTCTTATAGCTGGCTGGTCATCATTCCTTCTGGATTTGGCCCCTCCTGCCCATTCTTCACTCTGTTAGACCTGTATTAGGTCTAGATCACGACAGGTACACATTTAATCATAGTCCCTTTCATCAATTATCCTGTCAACAAACATTCCATGAATCTTTCCAAAAAACGACCTGCAAATGCATAGTAATGCTGTAGCTTTTGGGAGAGAGACTAGTATGAGATAGCCCTCATTTCACTGGCACAGCAAGGTGACCACAAACCCAGCATGCCACGGAGCTGTGAAGAGAAGACCTGTCTCAGCAGAAGAGTCATGATAATGGGTGCTGCTTGATGGAGACCATTGCCCATCCTTTTCACTGTGCTTATAATCTTTCTTGAACCTAACTCTTCTAGCTGTTGGTTTTCTTTGTTATGCCATCTTAGGTATTTTTAAGTGCATAGTTCAGTAGTGTTAAGTACATTCTCATCACTGGGCAACTTTTACATCATACAAAAGTAAAACTCTTTACCCATTAAGTAACTAACCACCCAGCACCATTCTACTTTGTGTCTCCATGAAGTTTACTGTTGTAGGTACCCTACATAAGCAGAATCATACAATATTTGGTTTTTTTGTGACTGCCTTATTTCTTGTAATATAATGTTCCCAAGATCCACCCATGTCATAACATGTGTCAGAATTTCTTTCCTTTTTAAGGTTGAGTAATATTCCATTATGTGTATACAATACGCACCACATTTTTGTTTACCCATTCATTTATTGTAGGAAATTTAAGTTGCCTCATTTTGAATTTTGTGAATAATGCTGGTGTGAATATGGGTGTACAAATAGCTTCTCAAGATCTTGCTTTTAGTTCTTTTGCGTGGAAAAGTTCTATCCACAAGTGGAATTGCTGGATCATGTAGTAATTCTATTTTTAACTGTTGAGGAGCCATCTTACTCTTCCCCATAGCAATGACACCATTTTACATTCCCTTCAGTTGTGCACAAGTATTAAAATTTCTCCACATTTGGACTGGAGGTGTGGCTCAAGTGGTAGAGTGCCTGCTTTGCAAACGCACAGCTCTGAGTTCAAACCCCAGTCCCACGCAAAAAAAATTCTTTTCCCTCCACATCCTCATCAGCTCTTGTTACTTTGATTTTTTGTTCATGTATTTGTTTCATAGCAGTAGCTATTCCACTGTGTGTGAAGTGGTATCTCATTGTGATTTTGATGTGGATGGGTTTTGTTTTGATTCTCACTTACATGTAATTTTGTTTGCCAAGTGATTTAATAAACTTTTGCTTATGTAGAACTTTTTGCACCTGTAAGGGTACAGGCGATTTTGGCTTCTGTGCCTCCATAAAGCTGTACAGACTTAGAAGAACAAGTCTGAAAATTTTGCTAGAGCACTTTTCCTATTTGGAAAGAATGAAACAATTCTGCTTCTTTGTCTGGAAAGACAAAGGCTGAGCAAGGTTATAATCAAAGTTTATGAAATGAGACTGGGAAGGGAAGCACTCATTCAGTATGAGTAAGGACCACTCCCTCAGCTTTCAGGACAAATAAATAAACTAGTACTTTGTAAAGGGAGCAAGGCACATAAGGAACCCATCCAGCCAAGTGTTAGAACCTTGCATGTGGATAACATTTCGTCGTTTTCCAAAGAACATGCATTCCCATGTTGTCCCACCCAAGTTGGGTGGCTAGGACAGAAAAGCCATCTGGAAAGACTAAATGCCCTAACCAGTGCCCCCCTCAATTCCAGAACTCAAGAAGTTCTTCAAATTGTAACTTTACCAGTAAGTAGTTTATGGTTTTAGGCAAACAAAAAAAATTAATCTGGGAAGACCCATGAAAATGACCAGCATGTAGTTGAAGATGACAGTTACTGTGGGAAGGAATGGTAGCCAAGAACAGCGACAGCAAGAGCATTACATGTGCATGTGCCTAAAGGAACTACAATCATATTACTCTTGATAAAGTGAGGAGATGTGTTTTTCCTTCTGCTCTTGAAATATTTTATAAATCAAAACAAAGTCTGAAATGCTTGTGAGACTCCTCTGACTTTCTGAAACTAGAGTCAACAAGATAAAGATTAGATGTTAAATCTCTCCCAAATGGTCCCTTGGTCCCACTCTGAGAAGCAAAATGTGTCGATTAGACCATCGATCTGACATGGTATGACATGTTTTACATCAGGACAGTGGCCTGATGCTAGTGTTGCAGTAACCCTGACCTGATGTTTCTCTTAGATCATAAGTTGAATTAAGCCGTAAGCACACAGAGATACTTTACTTCTTTAAAACAGAGGTAAAAAAACATGGTCTTTAGCCTGGAGCCATCCCACAGATGTGTGTTATTTGACCAACACAGTTTTTAAAATTAAGCCAAGATTTAAAAAATTCCATTGGTTTCATATTAAAAAAAAATTCAGATTCTGACTTTTCTTTTTTTTTTTTTAAATTCAAAAGAATGACAGCCTGCATTCCTGTGAGATAGCCATCAGCTAGAAGCCTGAAGGAGGGTCTCGGCTGTCCCCTCTCTGTGGGGTCTGCCCTCCCCAGGCCAGCTATCCCTCACCACTCCCTGTTGTTTCCCAACATCTATAACAACAATCAGTTGTCATTTATCAAAATGCCCAGAGAGCTGCCTTTTTTTTTTTTTAGTAGTCAGGAAAACGTTCTATAAACACACATCTCTATTAACTATAAAAGTATGAAAGGACAAAGACCCTGTGACTTTTTTCTTATTCCTGGCTGCCGTACCTTGCCTACCTTGTCATGTAGCCCTCCAGGCACAATTTTCATTCCCATAAGTAACTAGTCTCAGCTTTTAATGGCCTTTTGCTGTTTTTGTTGGCGTGAGGAAGGGAATAATGAGTTTTAGGGACCTGGAAACAAATTTGTTATTTTTTTTCTTTTTTTCTTTCTCTAACTTGTTTTCTCTGTTTAGTTTTAGCTGAAAACATCTGGATTTTTTTCCTGCTGATTTCGTAGTTTTGGTAAAAAAAAAAGATACTCTCTCATCACATTAAAAAAAAACTTTTCTTGTGCTGTAGAATTAAAATATTCAATAGATCAATAAAGCCATATTTAATATGGGAAATATCACTGTTTAGTGTTCCATATTTTACTGTGGAAATGATGGTTAGAGGGAGAAAATCACAGTGATACAGATAACTTAAATATTTAGCAGGAATGTGTTATCATACAACCCTGCACAACTAGTAAGACTTGTATTGTCACTTATAATTGTGAACTGCTGTAATCCTCGTTGGAGTGTGTCTGCCTGAAGTCAGGTGTATATGAATCCCATACGTCTTGGGTTTGTGTAAGTGATGATAATGTTTATTAGGGAATTTTTGGTGTTGTTAGGTTTCCTGGACCTGATAAACATGCTTAATGAAAATTTTAGTGTAAAAATGAAAATCTTGATGTAATAATTGTATGAAATATTGAATAATCAAATGTTAAGATATTTGAATCAGGAAAAGCAAAACTTCATCTAAAC